CATTTGCAGCCACCTAGTAAACCCTATTCCCTAAACCAAGGATGCTCAAGAGTAAATGGTTTGCACTTCTCCTCAACCAGAGGGTAAATGGCTTAAATCACCCCACTCAGGGAGACATAGCATAAATCTAATTAGTGCCATTTGCCAACCACACCAAAAGACAGATGAAGTTAAAAGAATAAATCTCATTTTGGCATATCAGCATAAAACTGATGAATACTATTGAGATCCTCCCCTTAAGACCACCCCTAAACTCTCAGCCTTTAAAACCCTCAAGCCCTGGCCAGTTTGGCTCAGCAGTTACAGCGTCAGCCCGCGAACCAGAGTCCCAGGTTTGGTTCCCGCTAAGGGCATGTATCTCGGTTGCAGTTTGTCCCCAGCCCCGGATGGGGTCGTGTGGGTGGCAACCACTCGATGTGTCTCTCTCACATTAATGTTTCTCTCTCTCTCTTCCTCCCTGTTTCTCTCCTGTTCTATCTGAAGATAAATGCAAAAAAATGTCCTCAGGTGAGGATAAAAAAAAAACCCCCGTCAAAACAGAGGTCCCAGCTCTCCCTCCTGGTAGCACGCCCCTACCTTTCTCTGCCCCCTTCTTCCCCCACAGGCATGCATCTCTTAGACTCTAGGAACCCCACGAGGCTTGCAACCAGGGTAGCTATGAGCAGCAGCAGCAGTTGGCAGTTCATCTTCATCCCGGACAAACCCCCTGAACCTGTCCCCAAGGCTCCCTTTTCTCTGACTTATTTTTTTTAAAGATATCCACTTTTTATTATTATTTTTTCTTTATTGATTTTAAGGAGAGGGAGAGGGAGAGAGAGAGAGAAACATCGATGACAAAGAACATCCACTGGCTGCATCCTGCATGTGGGGATTTGGACCACAACCTGGGCACGTACCCTGACCAGGAATCGAACCGGCGACCTCTTGGTGCATGGGTCGATGCTCAACCACTGAGCCACACTGGCTGGGCTTCTCTGACATCTTTAGTGAGCTAAGTAGTCCAGCCTTGGCTCATTTCCCCACCTAGTCTCCCTCCTGTTATCCTAGGCCCTTCCTTGTTTCATTGTCCCCAGCTTTAATAAACGTCCTCTAAAACCCACCCAGACTTTTTCTGCATCAAGTCAGGAACCCACCTATGGCCCTGGCCGGCTTGGCTCAGCGGTTAGAGCGTTGGCCCGTAGACCACAGGGAAGAACCCACCTATTACTAGCAGGCTCTAGACAGACCCACTGGGCCAGGTCCCCATTCTGCAAACAAAAAGGAGAGCTGGAGATAAAGGGAGAGTGTTCACTCGTGTTCACTATATATCCACTGGTCCCTTTTGAAGTTGGTATCATGTGCATTTATTTTATTTTTAATTTAAAGAACTCAATCATTTGTTGTATTTTGATGCTGGGTATGAAAAAAACAGTAACAAATATTGTCTCTGACTTTTGAATTATGCATGCCAAATGCAAGCAATAGCAAAAAGTGCTTTAGAGGAAAAGCAAAACAAAAAGCATTAGCCACCCTGGCTGGTTTGGATCAGTGGTTAGAGTTGGCCCGTGGACCAGAGAGTCCTGGTTCAGTTCCTGCTAAGGGCACGTACTTTGGTTGCAGTTTGTCCCCGGCCCTGGTTGGGGTCGTGTGGGTGGCAACCACTCGATGTGTCTCTCTCACATCAATGTTTCTCTCTCTCTTTCCCTCCCACTCTCCTTCCCACTGTCTGAAGATAAATGCAAAAAATAAAAAATAAAAAAAAATGACCTCGGATAAGGATAAAAAAGAACAAAAAGCATTAGCCATCAAAGAGTCCTATTTAAAAAATTTCAGAACATTAAGAAAAATGACTAACAATCTATGAGACAAATAGCAAAAATCATTTAAAGTGATATGTGATTATATATTCTCCCAAATTCTACAGCTTGGGACCAAAGTCCATATATAATTGAAACTCTGGCCCTCTTTGCACTTTGTTAAATATTGGACCCTTGTACTTGAGTTGACTGTTTTTTTCCTGGTTGGGGGAAGAGTAAATAGAAACTGCAACTGGGACTGGGGCCAGTTTTAGGGTGTTTTTTTCCTTTTTCCTATGAAGACATCAAGAGAAATAACTAATTTTTCTGATGTTCTGAGAAGGCCTTCAAAGCCTTGTGTCTCTGGACTCCCACCTCTTCCCCAGAAGGGTGCCAATACCTATTAAAATTTCTGGAGCCTCATAAAGAGAGGAAGTAAAAACAATGCTTTACCAAGCTCTCTCCCCCAAGGGATAGACTCCCTGGCCTGACTCTAAGCTCGTGTTTTCCTGCTCTAAAGATCTTGACCATAGTCACCTCACTATGATTCCTAAAACAGTGCTTTTAATTTCATTCCTTTGTTTAAGACATTTTTCTTATTTGTTAGGTGTTTTTGTAGTTTGACATTTTCTCAGGTGATCCTAATAAAACTCCTACTTCCTACTTTCAGTATAATTACTAGGAATCTTCTGCTCCAATCAGCCTGACTTCCTCAGGGTCTCAAATATCCTCAGTTCAGTTTCAGCCTTGGCTTCATTTTCCCCCCAACATGGTGTGCACTTCTCTTCAACAATCCTCCCTACTCCATTCCCAAATTCCACCTCTCTATCCTATCCAAACTCTACATCCTTCACAGACTAGCTCAAATCCATTCTCTCCAAAGCCTTTCCGCCTTTCCTAGTTCCTCCCACCCTAATTAATTACTCTCTTTTCTACTCTGAAGGTTAATAATGCTCAGGGTGCACCACACCATTTTGTCCCAATACTTGATTCGGGTGTCTGGTGCCCTAACTGGTATGACTGCATGCTCCTCAATGGACCATGCCTAACTCCTACATAGTGAAGGCATTTCGCACACCTTCAGAGAAACAGTACACTTTGACTTTTAGGGTTACCACTGGTTTCACTCTCAACAATCTCAGGGATCTATGGGCATACCAAGCTTTGTTTTGGCAATTAAATTTATTTTCTGACTAATATGGAGAAGCAGTTATGTTTGAAGTGGCAACTGTCTACAATCTGCATAATGTGCCTTGATGTCTCACATGGGATATGGGGAATACAGAACCAATCAAAGAAACCTGGTATGCCCTGGAGTTTCGATATAAATTTTCATCATGTAGAGAAAACCTACGGAAAGAGAATGAGTTCCCTCAGTCAATCCGGCAAAGGGATGCCATTCTTCAGAAAAATGGCACTGTCCCAGCACCTTGACCCTGTGTCCCAACCATAGAGAACCTCATTCATAATGAGGTACTATCATATCCAGAATGAATTATTGAAGCAATAACCAACAGCTGGGGTACTTGTAAACAGCCATGTGGTAGCCAGGAGCAACATACACACAACCCACCATTAGTGATCTTGGAAACAAAAGGAAAAGGGCAAGATGACTAACCCCTTACAGACTAAAGAAAACACTGTAAGGTTTTTTGTTTTTTTTCATTTTTATCTTCAGATAGAGCGAGAAAGAGAGAGGGAGGAAGAGAGAGAGAGAGAGACAGACACATCGAGTGGCTGCCACCCACATGACCCCAACCGGGGCTGGGGACAAACTGCAACCGAGGTACGTGCCCTTAGTGGGAACCGAACCTGGAGCTCTCTGGTATGCCGGCAGACGCTCTAACTGCTGAGCCAAACCGGCCAGGGCAACACTGTAAGTTTTTGGTAAGAAAATTTATTTGGTATTACTAAATTGTATACTTAAAATGGATGAATTTTATATATGCAAATTATACCTTAAGGAAATTGTTAAAAAAACAAAAAACTTTGGTGATTTGAGCTGGAGTATTTGCATGTGGTGAAGCATCCAAAACAGTCCAGTAAGGAGAGGGTATCACAGGTTTTTATTGGAGTTTCAAGATAGAAGGCACAAAATCTCTGGCACAAAAACTGAAAATTTCCATAATAAGATAAGAGTTCATTATAAATGATAATAAAAACTACCAAAATATATATACACATAAATAAAATCCAAATACATAAAACTACTGAAATAACGAGAACCATACAGCTTGTGGTGATAGTTTCGGGAAAAAAAAAAGAAATGGAAGAGTTGGAGGTAGAAAGAAAAACAGTATTTAAGATGTGACAGCTGTAAAAGCAGAACTAATGAAAGAAGGGAAGTCTGAGAAATCGTTGCTATTGGCCAAGAAGCTTGGTTTACCACCACCAGAGTCATAAGATCTGCATTGGCACAGGTTCTTTTCAAAAAGGCTAAAGGGCATTTTTCTTTTAATAGCAAACAAGGGAAATCAGGGAACCACAGAGAAGTAAGACAACTTATTATAATGCAGAGGAAAGGAGTTTGCTGAGAGCATAATATACTGACCCAAAACAGGAGTTCAGGATAATAGTTCTAAAATTAACAGTTATGACACCAACTGTAAACTATAATTATTTCTTATTTATCTTGGTTAATCCCAACCTGGGATATTTTTTCCATTGATTTTTAGAGAGTGAAAGGGGGTGGGGGACACACTGGACAGGGCTAAAGTATTACTTTTATGTGACAGAATAAAACTGTCTATATCTTAGTTACATCTTAGAAACATGTATCTTTCATTAACCTGAGACCATATGCTATATTTCAATATAATGGGGGAGGGGAGACACATTGTCTCCCTCACAACCCTGACCAGGGCCAGGGACAAACCACAACCGAGGTACATGCCTTTGGCCAAAATTGAACCCGTGACTCTTTGGTCTGTGGGCTGATGCTCTAACCATTGAGCAAAACCAGCCAGGGCCCTTAGAACAGTTCTTGACACAGAGCAAATGTTCAACAAATGTTAGCTAATAAATTATTAATTATCTTCAAAGTTCATTTTTAAGGAATACTACCTTAGTTCATGCAACGTAAATGAGATATTACTATATGGTGATTCATATAGTAGACAATTAATGGCAGAGATTGAGAGATAAGACTAAAAAGGAGAATGCAAAAAAGTGAGAGGTGAATGTACATAAAACAATAGAAGAGGTGTTAAATCACTTTGCCCATACCTTCGTGAACATTTATCTCACCATAGTATAATCAATTGTGCAAATATCTATCTTCTCCATAGTTGTGAGGACTTTGAGGGCAAGCACTTACTAAAAAAAAAAAAAAAATTTTTTCTTTATTGATTTTAGAGAGAGAGGAAAGGAGAGGAAGAGAGAGACAGAAACATCAATGAGAGAGAACATCGACTGGCTGCCTCCTGCATGCTCCACACTGGGGATTTGCCCCAACCAGGAATCGAACTGGCGACCTCTTGTTGTATGGGTTGAAGTTCAACCACTGAACCACACCAGCCAGGTAGCAAGCATTTATTTTTAAATTGTCAGCCCAACATAGTTCCTGCAACATAGTAGATACTAAATAAATGTATAATAAAATAACAAGGGTGGGTGGATTAATAAGGTTTGAAATCAATATTGGGAGTACTTGGTTTTCCTATATCTTAATTGGACTAAGGGCAGAATCAGGAAAGACCTATTATCATTCTTTGTTTAATCGATTATTAATATTCTACACTCCCATTCTTTTTTTTTAATATATTAAAAAAAATTTTTTTTTCTTTATTGATTTTTAGAGAGAGAGGAAGGGAGAGGGAGAGAGAGACAGAAACATCGATGAAACAGAACATCAACTGGCCCCCCACTGGAGACTGGGCCCACAACCTGGGCATGTGCCCTGACCAGGAATCAAACCGGCGACCTCTTGGTGCATGGGTCGACGCTCAACCACTGAGCCACACTGGCTGGACTATTGATTTTTTTAGATAGAGAGGAAAGGAGAGGAGAAAGAGACAGAAATATCAATGAGAGAGAAGCACTGATCAGCTGCCTCCTGCACACCCCACACTGGGGATCAAGCCCAAAACCTGGGCATGTACCCTGACCAGGAATGGAACCGGCATGGGACGATGCTCAATCCACTGAGCCACACCAGCCAGGCTACCCTTCCCTTCTTGCTGAACTAGAAAATATGTTTAAAATATATTTAATTTACTTTAAAATTTTAAGTCTTTCAAATTATGATAAAACAAATTTTAATAATTTATTTTAAATATTAAAAATATTGTTGCCCTGGTCGGGTGGCTCACATAGTTGCAGCATATTCCTGTACACCAAAGTATAGCAGGTTTGATCCCTGGTTGGGGTGTGTGCAGGGGGCAGGTGATCAATGTTTCTCACATTGCTGTTTCTCTGTCTCTCTTAAAATAAATGAAGGGCATGTCCTCTGGTGAGGACTGATTAAAAAAAATAAAATAACTATATATATACACACACACACACACACACATATATATGGCTCTGACTTGCCTATTATGCCCAAAAGTTCATTCTAATGGTCAAATGGTCAGAGAGTCACAGCAATAAACAGATACTAAATAAGGAACACACACCTACTTTTTAGCTGTTAATCTGCTAGATGCAGTGCAGATACAAAAACAATACCCGACCTCCGGTACCAAAGCAAGCATGTTTGGGGATGACCAACCCTAAATCCCCTTGTCTGAGACCACCCTTACCACAAGCCCTGTGAAGTATACAGCCTAAGCAACCACACAATGATAATGACCCCTCCCTCACAATGTCTGGTACAGGGTTACCCCCAACCCAAGCAAGATAGATAAAATTCAATTCTCCAGGAATCTAGACAGCTGGGAAGCAAAACCTCAGTTGAGACATCATATATCATCCAGTCTGGAGGCAGCATAACAGCAAGCCAAAGTCACATTTAAGCTGAAGCTAAGGGGGAAAGCAGAAGCCATGAGAAAGCCAGTCTGTAAAGAAGAGAAAGGAGTAGGGCGAGGGGGAGGGGGAGGGGGGATGAGGGAGGGAGGCACTTGTCTCAAGTGCAAGATTAGAGAACGCAACAAAAACTCAGTAATCAAGATAATCAAATTAATGTTCTACAAGGCAGCAGAGAAGCACAGAAAGAAGCTGAAGAGAGTGCATGCAGGACAAAGACGGAGGAAGGAGAACAGGGACTTTCCCAGTGCCTGCCAGCCCTGGCACCATCCCTTCCAGCAGGCCAGCCTAAGTGGGTTTGTGTTCCGAGAGCTAAGAATCTTGACAAACACTCTATCTGGGAAAATGAGACAGGCACATAAAACTTAAAGAAAAATAAAATCAAGGCAATATATAATTAACTGACAAAAATGGTACTAAAGCCCAGCTGGTGTGGTTCAGTGGACTGAGCATCATCCTATGGACTGAGAGGTCTTGGTTCGATTCCCCATCAGGGCACATGCCTGGGTTTTGGGCTTGATCCCCAAGTAGGGGGCATGCTGGAGGTACCCGATGGATGTTTCTTTCTCACGTCAATGTTTCTCTCTCTCTAAAAAGTCAATAAGAGCCCCAGCCAGTTTGGCTCAGCGGTTGAGCGTTGGCCTGCAGACCAAAGAGTCCCGGGTTTGGTTCCTGCTAGGGGCACATACCACAAAAAATAAATAAATAAAAATAAAAAATCAATAAGAACATATATATTTTTTAAATGGTACTGAAATTAGTGCTACAGAAGTTCAGAAATCATATGCATGTATGCATAACCAATGGACATAAACAACAATGCTGCAGGGGCAGGATGGGGAGGAGGGTGTGTGTGTGGGGAGAAACATCTGTAACAAAAATAAATTAATAAAAATTGAAAAAAAAAAAAAGTTCAGAGATCAATGTGGGTGGTCAGGGAAGGAAACATTTAGCTAGAAAGAGTTGGGAAGAAGCATATACTAAGCAAACAGATCAAAGTACATGGGAAAGGAGCCAGGGAAAGAAGATGAAAAGTGAAGGGGAAGGAGCGATTCTCGCACACCTGGTATTATAGCCAAGGACGTAAATACAGCTCCATGCTTTTCTGCCTCCGGCATGTTCAAATCTTTCAGTGACAAGTTCAAACATTTCTATGAAGAGGTGTCCTACTCAAAAGAAGGGATAGGCTAGAAGTAAGGTTGTGGCCATGGAAAAAGAAGAGCCCTAGCAGGAGGGAAGGCTAAGGGGCTGAAAGCAGGGACAAGTGCTATTCTCTGGTGGAGAGCAAACTATACCCAGGAGTTCACTTGGGATGCTTTCCTATGTCTTAGGAGAGTAGGTTGTGACATGATTTGATAAGGAGGAGTAACAATGGGGGCTCAAGAAACTAGAGGCAGGTGTAGAAGGTGTGTTGATGACTAAAAAAAAGGGCCAACCTGCACCAACTGCCTTGCAGAGGTAAAAATATGCAAATCTGTTGTGGTCCATTTCTGTGCATATTTCTGTGATTTTCTCTAAGAAATAGTAAATCTTAGAGACAAACAGCAGAAAAATAGGAGGTAGGATTGGGTAGAGAGCCTTGACTTTCAAACAATCACATTATTATTGATATTTCCCAATCGAATCAAACTTCCTTACTCATATCCCCAACCCATCCCACCCACTCCCACTTTCCTGCCATAGCACCCCAGTGACCATATTAAAGAGAGAGGAAAAAAAGGGCAGTATTTAAGAATACTAACTTGAATCCACCATGGACAAAAATAAATCTTAGTGTTAATCAAATCTTGCCATGTTTGCCCCAGGGTAAGGGGTGCTGGAACAGATGTCAGGCTCAAATGTATACATTTGAGGGGCCTCCCTTCTTTTCACTGGTATGCATATCAAGTAAATATTCTTTTTATTGCTGATGTTAATCTTCACCCAAGGATATTTTTCCATTGATTTTTAGATAGAGTGGAAGAGAGGGGGAGAAAAAGAGAAATATAGATGTGAGAGAGAGATATCCTCCCGCATGACCCCAACCAGGGGGTGGGGATCGAATCTGCAACCCAGGTATGTGCCCTTTACCAGGAATCCAACCCAAGACCCTTCGGCCCTCAGGCGGACACTCCAACCACTGAGCCAAACTGGCCAGGGCTCAAGTAAATAGTCTTTAACAATTCCTCATTAAAATGATAACCCAGGGAGAGAAAATATGTTTTGGTGATAATTTCCAAAATATCTTACTTTATAATTATGATTAATAATATCCTGTTCAGCCCTGGCCAGTTTGGCTCAACGGTTAGAGTGTCGGCCCACGGACTGGAGAGTCCTGGGTTCGGTTCCCGCTAAGCTAAGGGCACATACCTCGGTTGCAGTTTGCCCTGGCCCCAGTTGAAGGCATGTGGGTGGCAACCACTCGCTGTGTCTCTCTCATATCGATGTTTCTCTCTCTCTCCCTCCCGCTCTATCTGAAGATAAATGCAAAAATGTCCTCGGGTGAGGATAAAAAATAATAATAAATAATAATATCCTGTTCAAAGGGCTTGCTCTATGCAATAGGCTAAAAGACTACCTATAAGTCTATATATATATATATATATATATATATATATATATATATATATATATAAAGTCTATATACATATTAAATGTATACCTATTAGACAACTGCTACTGGTTAAAAAAAGTTAACTAAAAGTTCTAGGAATGAACTGCCTTAAACACCAGAAAACACTTTAAATAACTTCAACTTGCGATCATGCCCTCATTCACTCTTGTCCACCTATCCCTCATTTTCTCCCACACAATTCAGGAACTGTGTTCACTTGTATGTACTGACAGCAGTGTTTAGATTTACCCAGATATGAAACTGTTATCTCTGTGCATCAGTTACCTTAGTTTGTAAGTTTGTCTTGGTGTGTTTGTGTTCTTTCTTTAGTAAGTATGTGTAGGTGTTTGAGTGTATGTACCGAGGGAGTATGTATCTTTACAGGTAAAAAAGTGTACACACCTGTGAAGGAATTTTGCTTGCATTTCAGTGATTCTCAAATGAACTTTGTTAAGTGTATAAGGGCGTAAGAAGACAGTCACAAAAAGCTACATATTGTATGATTTCATTTATATAAAATGTCTAGAATAGGCAAATTAAAACTGTAATAAGGTACCATTTTACATCTTCTATTGTGGCTACAATAAAAATGTCTGACAACACTAAAAACTGGTGACATTAAAAATGTGGAGCAAAAAAAAGCCCTGGCCAGGTGGTTCAGTTCGTTGAAGCGTTGCCCTGTACACCAAAAGGTTTCTTTCAGGTTCAACTCCCAGTCAGGGCACATACTAAAGTTTCAGGTTCAATCCCAGGCCGTGGCACATACAATTGGCAATCAATAGATGTTTCTTTCTCTCCCTTCCTCTCTAAAACCAATGGAAACATATCCTCAAGTGAGAAAAACAACAACAATAACAAAAACAAAACACAAAAACAATGTGGAGCAACTGGAACTCATATATAAGCCACTCTGGCTTTTGTTTTTGTTTTTTAATATTTTTTCTTTATTGATTTTAGAGAGAGAGGAAAGGGAGAGGGAGAGATCGAAACATTGATGAGAGAACATTGACTGGCCGCCTCCTACATGCCCCCTCAAGGGGATTTGGCCCACAACCCAGGCATGTGCCTTGACCGGGAATCGAGCCAGTGATCCCCTTGGTGCATGGGTCAACACTCAACCACTGAGGCACACCGGCCAGGCCACTTTGGCAGTTTTTAAATAAAGTTAAACATACATCTACCTGAAGACTCAGTAATCCCACTTCTAGATATTTATCAAACAAAATGAAAACATATATCCATAAGAGACTTGTAAGAGAATGTTCATAACAACCTTATTCATAAGAGCCCAACTTGGAAATAACCCAAGTATCAGTCAAGAAGGAAATAGATAAATTGGAGTATATTCATACAACAGAGTATTATTCAGTGATTAAAAAAAAACCCAAAAAACCAAGCCCTGGCTGGTTTGGCTCAGTGTTAAAGCATTGGACCAATGATGGAAGGATCAAGGGTTTGATTCCCGCTCAAGGGCATGTACTTGGGTTGCAGGTTTGATTCCTGGCCTCAGTCCCCAGGCAGGGTCATTTGGGAGGCAACCAATTGATATATCTCACATGATGTTTCTCTCCACCCCCACCTTATACTCTATCTAAAAAATCAAGGCAAAAATATCCTTAGATAAGGATTAACAAAACAAACAAACAAAAAAATACCACTGATACATAAAACACATATAAATCTCAAAAACAATGTTACATGAAAGAAGCCAGACACAAAAAAGCACAAACTACTATATGATTCCACTTAAGTGAATGAAGTCCACGACTAGGCAAAACAAATCTATGGTGTCAGAAATACTGAGTCAAAGTGGTTGTCTTTGGAGGAGGGTGGGTGAGGGACATGGCTGGAAAGGGACATGAGGGAACTTTCTATGGTGATAAAAATGTTTTCTAGCTTGTTTTGGTAGGTTACATTGAATACAATTATCAGAACTCCTTGAACTAGACACTCAAGATATGTGCATTTTACTGAATGTTAATTACACCTCATAAAAAATACAAGTTGGACTCTGCTTCAAGGCATAGGTTAATGATTTTGTTTCAAATGCAATCTACATTGCTACACATACATTTTCAATTTTTTGCCATTTTTTATTATTCTCGTCTCTATTCCTTCATTATTACAAAGAAACTACGTAATGGATTACACACACATATGAGTAGATAGATATAAGTATGTGTCCATGTTTGATTTTTCTTTTATTTATTTATTTTTATCCTCACCTGAGGACATTTTTTTTTGCATTTATCTTCAGATTGAGTGGGAGGGAGAGAGGGATGGAGAGAGAGAGAAATATCAATGTGAGAGAGACACATCGACTGGTCGCCACTCACATAACCCCAGCCGGGGCTGGGGACAAACTGCAACCAAGGTACGTGCCCTTAGCGGGAACAGAACCCAGGATTCTCTGGTCCACAGGACAGCGCTCTAACCACTGAGAAAACCGGCCAGGGCTGATTCTTTAGGATTTCAATATATGTACCCAATGGACTGTTACAGGTCCAGTAGAATTTACTGTTTTTCTATACAATTTTATAGTTGTGATTTTAGAGGTTTGAGATAAAACTGAATGATAATAAGGCATGTAAATCAAATGTCAGCAAGAAAGGTCTATGACAGAAAGCCACTATAATAACCTAGAGAACAATGCCCTCCTCAATTATTTTAATTAAGGGAGCCCATAATTTTTTTTTTTTTTTTTGGTACGTGCCCCTAGCGGGAACCGAACCCAGGACTCTCTGGTCCGCAGGCCAACACTCCAACCACTGAGCAAAACCAGCCAGGGCGAGCCCATAATTTTTAAATTTAAGGGGACCTGAAAAGCATGAAGAAAGTCTGCCAGTTAATTTGATCTTTAAAAGTTGATAACACAGCCTAAATAACGAGCAATGTACATCAGACCCACACCTGAAAACCTACTGAGCCCTTTCCTCCTATTTTACTGGGTCCTCCTCTTTCTTCGTCTTCATCTTTCCCCTCCCTCTGTTGGTCTCTATCCAGGTATATATTTTTTATCCCTACCACCTCTCACCCTCCCTATGATATTGTTCAGATCTAATCAATTCTCATATACCCATCTCACCCCAGGTTCCAAATAAGTAAGTTTACAAAATTGTACTGTATTCTATTATAGATATGGCATATACACTGAAACAGCACAGTATAGCCTGGGAAGACAGAGATGACCAGTGAGTGGAAAAAAGATGACTTCATTTGTTTCCCATCCCCACAACTGTAAAAGATCTCTCTCTATGAACTGCATGTTTTTATTCCCCACAGATGGCTCTTACAGTGCTCTGACCTATAAACAAGTACACATGCCTAATCTCAAAGAGAGTAAGTTCCCAGACAAAAACTGTGTCTTAATGTCTGTATTTACCATGAGCCTAAGACAGTGCCTTGTACAGGATGAGTCAAAACACAAGTTGAATCAATGAACTATTCAATTAATGTAAATGAAAACAGTTGAGGGTGGAAGAGAGGAGAAAACACTAAAAGGATTCAGCACAGAGAAAAAAGGGAAGGAGAAAGAGTAGGGAAAAACAAACAAAAACAAAAAAACTTGTGAAAGCAGTTATTTTTGTTAGAGTTAACAGGATTATTTTTGAAATGAGACTTGGAAAAAGCCATCACCATGCATCTATTATCACAGCTATCAGCACCTATCTTTAAACTATCATTATAAACACCTTAAAGCATCTCCCAACACTTGGTCCTCAGTGTGGTCTATGATAGCAACTATGGCATTCCCTATCTGACATGCAGGTTCTAGGGCCCCACTTCAAACCTTCAAGATTCTGGGTGATTTGTGCATGTTAAAGTTTGAGAAGCACCTTCGTACACCATTCAAGTCCTTTCTGTTGTACAGAACCTTTGTTTTATTTAAATGAACCTGTAGCTGAGACTTGAAAAATCTGATTAGAGTGAAACTGATCATTTAATGGGATTTGACCCTTATATATTTAACTTCAGGTGAAGCTAATTACAGAGTGATTTGGCCTGAAGGGTTTGTAACAAAATTTTGGAATTAGTCATAAAAATACGATTAAAAGAAATCGAGCAGGTTAGTAACAGCCTCCAGAACTCATTTTTGTTCCTTCATGCCTAGCATGGAGTTACAATGACACATGTGGCCAATGTTTCCTGGATGAATAAAGAATTTTTAAAAATCGGAGGTGTGTTTGCCCAGCTGGTGTGGCTCAGTGGCTTGAGCATCGTCCCATGGACTTCGAGGTCCCGGCTGGATTCCGGGTCAGGGAATTTGCCCGTTTTCAAGCTCAATCTTCAGTGGGGGGTGTGCAAGAAGCAGCTGATCAATGTTTCTCTCTCACATTGATGTTTCTATATCTCTCACCCTTCCTCTCTCTCTAAAAAAAAAAAATCAATAAAGACATATTTTTTACAAAATCAAATGTTTAGAGCTGGTCCAACAACCTCATTTTAAAGATGAGCATGCTAGAAATCCTGAGAGGTTCAAAAGTAAGCAAGCTGAAAGAGTCAGAATATATTGGATCTGACATTTTAATTCCCTTTTTGTTCCTTTTGTAGGAATGTGTTAGAAAGGGGATTCTAAGTATTATAATAAAACGACAGAGGACTCTCAAAGAAGTGATACGGTAAAACGTGCCTGGGACTAGGAAGAGACTAGCACAAGTAAATGAGCTGGACAAAACTATTTTTCTAAGCTTTTTTTTTTTTTTTTTTTTGACAAACCAATTAATTAATCAGTTTAATCTGCCAAAAAAAGAATCTAAAGGATTCTCAGAAAAAGAAACATGAGCTGCATGAAAATGTTACAAACCAAGGGAGACTGCACATAACTAATTTAAATCTCCACAGGCTTATTTCCTGTTCAAGTATGACCTCCTGCGATAAGTTTTACAGCAGTGTTCATTACCAGATGACTTTTGGTTTTAAGACAAGCCAAGGGCAAGTTGGAAACTCGAGTCTTAACTAAACATAAAACAACAACAAAACCCAAAAAACCTGCGGCTGTTTCTCATTTGTTTCTAATCAGAATGCAGGCTTGCAGAGGAAACATACCAACCAACCTCCGGAGGCAAAAATATAACGATCCAGTCACGTACTCAAAAGAAACCGATGCACAAACTTCACAGCTGTATCCGGCTGTGCTGCACGGGAGCTAGGAATTTATTCTAAGACAGAGCAGATAGATCAAAACGGCGAATGCAAGACAAGCCAGATTTCAATTAAAAAAAAAAAAAGAAAGGGTGTGCCCTAAGGGTTTTTTTTTTTCCTTCCGACTTGCAACAAGCAGAAAAGCCTTTGAAGAAGTATTGGTGAGAAAACCCTTTTAAGACGATCGTCCCCCGAGACACGCCTGGCTGGGGTGGAAGAGGCGGGGGACACCGCGAGCTCGCAGCGGGCGCGGGCTGCGGCGGAGGGGAGGGGGCCGGTCCCAAACCCGGGGAGGCCGGGCCCCCAAGTGATTCATCAACTTAAGGTTCGCGCGCCTCCACCCCAGGCGACGCCCAGCGCGCCCCACGGCCCCCACCCAGGCCCTGTCGCCCCGAAGCAGCCCTCAGCGTCCCCGCTCCCTGAAAAGGACCCATAGGGAACGAGACCCGAGCTGGCGGCTGGAAGGCAGCAACCTCTCCCTCTTCAGCCACCATGGCCGGTGCGACTCCCTGCCCGCGCCCACAGACGGACTTCCTGGAAAGCACCAGACTGGACTTACCTGACCGGCGCCCGCCGAGGCCACCGACTCTTTCACGGACCCGCGGGGACTGCCTGCAGCTCGGTTCCTAGCACCCGCTGGTCTGCCTACGTCTGCCTCCCAGGGAGTTGCCGGATCCGCACGCCAGCAGCACCCCCAACTCGACCGCGCTGTCTGTGCGGCTGGTTCCCATTCCGTCACCCACGCGCCTGCGCACTCCCAGGTCGCAGGGCACGCTGGGAATAGTAGTCCGAGCGAAGAGGGAGAAACTTAGCGCAGGACCCTGGTCTTTACAGTCCGCAAGACATTGGCAGCAGCTGCGGATACCAGGCCTAAGCAGCAGCTAGAGGTTCTTTGGTAGAGATTTTGTCTTTACTTTGACTTTTACTAAACAGGCACTCATGGCAGGACTTGTATGTACCCTTTGAGTACACACAAGCTAATGCGAGGACATGACATCAAGTCCTTTGAACATGTTATGAAAAACTGATAGGTAAACAAAAGCTAAGGCACAAGAGAGGCATAAGTCAGGAGGATGTCCTCTCAAGGGTGTAATGACCCTAGTGATTTCTTTAGGCCTGAAACCAGGGATGATGTCTCAGCGATGGCACCTATATTCCCCTGCAGTTTCGGCCCCATCCCTTCCTGGCATCACAGCTTCATGCTCTACACCAGGAGGTGGAGCTGGGCTAACGTGGGAGGGCGCTGCTCAAAAGAGGGGCCTGGGACCTGATGGGTAGTCTGGAGGGGAGGACGAAGAGAGTGGGAATATTTCAGAGGACCGTCCATGGCTGCCTTTTGTGCATGGCTCTGAGGCGAGAGAACAGCGATGACTTCCATTCATTCATTTTCTCACTCACTTGGAATTTTTCTGGCCTGCTCTTCGGGAGTAAACCATTCCTAGGAATAATGCTTTGACAGGCCTCTTTCAAAATTGTAGCCAGGAAGAGAACTGAAATGCCTTCGTGATGTACATTCCAGCTACACCCAGTGTGGGAGACGACTAATGGCTAAACCTCTTCTGGCATCTACTTCGTCCACTCAGAGCAGGGAGTATCCTAAGTAAAGTAAACACCCTGGAATTCCATGCAACTGGTGCTCACTAATCTTACCAACAAAAATAACTGATGATTTGGAGTTTTAAAGGCAAAACAAAAAACAAACAAAAAAAACAATCTCCTAAATTGCAAATACTCTTAGAAGACCATCACCATTAAGTTGTGTGGCGATTGCGTCTTATTTTCCATTGCATCTTAGTGTGAATTATTCTCAAATAACAGATTTCTGAGAGCAACTTCCTACAGAGTTCAGGTTCAACAAATATTTATTGCGTACTTAATCCACACCAGCCAGTGTGCCAGCACTTCACTTATAATATCTATCCAATCCTCAAAATAACCCTAAAAAATGTATTAGTGTCTTCCATGTCTACAGATGAGAAAGACCCAGGCAAATTAAGTAATTTGTACAAGATCACACAGCCAGTAATTGGAGATCTAGAAATACAACACAGGTATCCTGACTCAAATTCTAGTATGCTTTCAACTGTTAATTAGATTCAAGTGTCTTCTAAACCTCATCAAATTATTTGAAGTAAAATAATCTGTGACCATGTCCAAAATACATGAAAAAAAATTATCTAATGCAGCTCAGGGAGATGGTACTCTGACTGGATTAAATTAATATCTGCGTTCATTTGATAATTACCCACCCCCATATGTTTTTATTGATTTCAGAGAGAGGAAGGGAGAGGGAGAGACAGAAACACTGACGGACTGCCTCCTGCAACCCCCTACTGGAGATTGAGCCTACAACCTGGGCATGTGCCCTGATCTGGAATCCAATGGGTGACCTGGTGGGAAGCCACTCAACCAACTGAGACACACTGGCCAGACTCATAGTTCTATTTTGCCTTATAACTTAACATATAGGTACTCTGGCTTACCAGCAAGTTTCCTGTGAATTCTTGCTACATCTGGGCCATCACTCTAAGGGAAACTGACAAAATAAAGTTCCTGAACAAGCAAAACAGGGGACCATGGTCATCATATATGCTTTGTTCGCTTTTTTTTTTTAAACTTCTCTTTATTGTTAAATGTATTACAGATGTCCCTCCTCATTGACCCCCTCCTTCCCAATGCTGCCCCCTCCTGCCTTCCCCACACTATTGTTTGTGTCCATTGGTTATGTATATGTGCATAGAAGTTCTTTGGTTTATCTCTTCCCACCCGCCCTCCCCCCTTCCCTTTGAGGTTCATCAGTCTAACAACCAATTTGTTCTTCTTAATTCCTTCATCTTTTTCACCTATCCCCCCAACCTTTTCCCATTTGGCAAGCAACAAAAAGTTCTCTATATCCATGAGTCTGTTTCTGTTCTGCTTGCTCATTTTGTTTGTCGATTCAATGGCTGATAGATATGTATTTATTGCCATTTTATTATTCATATTTTTGTTCTCCTTTAAGAAGATCCCTCAACATTTCATATAATAATGGTTTGGTGGCGATGAACTCCTTTAGCTTTTTCTTGTCTGGGAAACTCTTTATGTGTCCATTGATTGTCAAAGATAGCTTTGTAGGATAGAATAATCTTGGTTGTAGGTCCTTGCTTTTCATCACTTTAAATATTTCTTGCCACTCCCTTCTGGCCTGCTAAGTTTCTTTTGAGAGATCAGCTGACAGCCTTATGGGAGCTCCATTGTAGGTAAAAAAGGTTACCGCTTTTCTCTTGCTGCTTTTAAGATTCTCTCTTTGTCTTTGACATTTTGATGATGATGTGTCTTGGTGTGGAGCTCTTTGGGTTCATCTTGTCTGGGACTCTGTGCTTCCTGGACTTGTATGTCTGTTTCCTTCACCAAGTTAGGGAACTTTTCTATCATTTTTTCAAATAGGTTTTCAATTTCTTGCTCTCGCTTCTCTCCTTCTGGCACCCCTATGATGTGAATGTTGGCATGCTTGAAGTTGTCCCAGAGGCTCCTTACTCTGTCCTCATTGTTTTGGATTCTTTTTTCTTTTTGCTGTTCTGATTGGATATTTTTTGCTTCTTTATATTCCAAATCGATGGTTTGCTTCATGTCTTCACATACTCTACTATTGATTCCCTGTAAATTATTCTTTATTTCAGTTAGTGCATCCTTAATTTATGACTGGTCCTTTTTTATGTTGTTGATGTTCTCACTAAGTTCCTTGGAGTTCTCCTTGAGTTCCCTGAAGGTCTCACTAAGTTCCTTGAGCATCCTTGTAACCAGTGTTTTGAACTCTGCATCTGATTGATTGCTTATCTCCTTTTTTGTTTTTAGTTCTTTTTCTGGAATTTTGTTCTCTTCTTTTACTTGGGACATATTTCTTTGTCTCCTCATTTTGGCTGCTTCCCTGTGGGTGTTTCTTTGTATTAGGTAGAATTGCTATGTCTCCTAGGCTTCGTAGGGAGGCCTATTGTTGTAGGTGTCCTGTAGGGTCCAGTGGCACAGCCTCCCTGATCACCCCAGCTGGGCTCTCAAGGTATACCCCTAGTGTGGACTGTACACCCTTCTGTTGTAATTGAGTCTTGATTGCTGTTGGCACCTCAATGGGAGGGATTTACTCAGGCTGATCAGCTATAAGGACTGGCTGTGCTAACTGACCACTGGCCTCTGACTCCCTTGGAGTATAGGGGCCCAACACACAGAGCAATATTTACTTCAGCAGGACTTTGGTACCCACTGAATTCACTCATAGAGTGTGTCACTTGTGGAGGTGGTTGGGTGGTGGGGCTTTGATGTGGTCTGAAGTTGTCCACTGGGTGTGCTGGCTCTGGGGCAAGGTTAGCCACTGCCTGTGTTCTACCCAGGGCCACCTAGCATAAGCTACAAAGTGATCTGCTGGTGGCTGCTTCTTGTGCTGGGCTTGGAGGTGCCCAGGAAAAGCCAAGTTGTGAACCAAGGCTGGCTGCTTCTAGTGCCAGGCCTGGGGCCACTTAACAAGAGGTATAGGGCTCACTGAGACCAGATGCTGCTTGTTTGAGAGATTTTAGGAAAATCTGCAGCAGGATCCAATACAGGCCAATCCTATGGTAAAGACATTGGAAAAAGCTTGGGTGGGCCCCAAGGTTGGGTGGGGCAGGGCCTCAGGGAATCACCAGGGTGAGTCAGGTTGCTGGAGTCCCAGATATGGTGGCCATCTGCTCCCCCAGGGAAGGGCTCACCAAAGGAACAATGGCTTTCCACAGCAAGTCTATCCAGGAGAAAGCTGCCCCTCCAGCCCTCACCCCAGTGCCAAACAATTCAGTTCTTCCCCATGTCTCTGGTGCCTTTCAAGCTACCTCCCCAATTCTGGAGCCCAGAAGGAGCAAGTCCGAGTAAGTCCATGCACAGGCCCTTTAAGAGGAACTGCCTGGGGTTCCAACAGCCTCAGCCTCCCTCAGCCGCTGGTTTTACAGCCAGAAGTGATGGGGACTTCTCTTCCTGGTACTGGAACCCTGAGCTGGGAGCCTGGTGTGGGACAGGAACCCCTCACTCCTGATGGAGGACTTTCACAGCTGAGGTACCCTCCTGATTTTTATCTGCCACACGTGGGTGTGGGACCAGCCTGTCTGAGCCTCCGCCCCTCCTCCCAGTAGTGATGTGGCTGCTTCTTTAATTTCGTAGTTGTAGTTCAGCTTGATTTCAGGCGGTTCTTAATAATGGTTGTTCTGTAGTTTAGTTGTAATTTTGATGTGGTTGTGGAAGGAGGTGATACCACGTTGACCTACACCGCGATCTTGACCGGAGTCCAGATATGGTTTGTTTTAAGAAGGACTTTCCTCTGCAATATGGCTCCTTTTGCTTTGCATTTTAGACAGAATTGGCTTTCAAGTCAGTAGCTGATTGAATTAATCTGCACATTTCCTTCCCAATCTTCCAATATGGGGTTAAGGCATACATTAAATATATATTCTTCTTTAGTTATTCATACTAAGTTTTTCTTAAGAAATGTTTGAATTTTATTTTATTTCCTTTTTCTAAAATAATGTTGTTTGGTGCTTCCCCCCTTCTTCACACAAATGTTATCATACTGTAATCACAAGGCTTACAAACATGAATCTCCAACACCCATGTACTTTCAATACCACATATGGGACCAGAGGTGTTAATCATATCCTAGTATCTGATAAAACTGTAAAAAAAAAAAAAATAGAACTTTTCTCGGTGCTTTCACTATTGCTACAAT